TCCCCCCTCCCCTTAACACCCAAGCAGAGTTCTGGCGAATAGGGACCCTCTCCCTCCCCTTGGGCCTTGGAGGGGCACTAGGCTTCTTGTGCTGCCTGACTGGCCCTCACCTGCTGCACAAGTTAGCCTTGGCAGGAGGCTGCGGGAGTCTCTCGGGGGCAAGGCCAGAAAGTGAGGGGGGAGAAAAACTCGGTTACACACAGAAACATTACACAAGTTGAGGGTTTTATTTACATAACAGGGCAAGAAAAGGATACAAAAGAAGCCTCTTTCAAGCATGTAAAAGCAAAGCGCTGAAACTCAATTCCCAGTGGGGCGTGGACCCTGATGTTAAAAAAACAAAGCTGAGGACAGAGAACAGGTGATAGGGGATCTGCCACACGGGTGCCTGGTGGCCGGGGAGGCTGAGCGGCTTGAAGTTCATCTTCTGTACACACGAATCTGGCTCCCAGGACAATCCCTGCGAGGTTCCGCCTTAAGAAATTTCTGGGTTAATTCGTAACCAGACTGTATGAGTTTCAGGGTCAAATGTGTCTGGTCTGATAGTGTCTCCAGTTTGGGAGTGGGGTAGGGAAGGTCTTCACTGGACAGGCCCTGGCAGCTCTGGTCCCTTTCTGGGTCACGCTTCCATCCCCCCAGGGGACTCAGTGAGCTTCTCAGCCACCCCCCAACCCCCCCTGCCCCCTGGGGAGGGGCATCCTTCAAGTTCACGGCAGGCTGCTTCCTCCTGTCCCCCTTCTGTCACTGGTGGGCCGGACGGGCCCGCCTGGCTCTCCCACTAAACCACGTCTCTCCCCCCAATCCCAGCGTGACCAGGCAAGCTATATTTATCTTACATGTGTGAAAATGTGCCATTATCAACTTTCCTCATTTGAGTTAAAACAAGACTGTCTGTTTTCTCTTTTCCTCACAAATACTAATGGTCCAGGAACCAGATCCAAGTTCATCTGCAACGTGGGTTTCCAGAACGTGAGGCTGAGTCCAGCTACAACTTCCTCCTCCACCCATTCCTTTTTCTGTCCCCGTCTGTCTGCCCACCTTCTTCACTTCCGGGGGCCACCTCGTCGGCTTGACCGGCGAGGCATGAACCCAGAGACCTCCTTTGCGGAGTCTGGGAAACTTGTCGGGGCCACAGGCAGGTGTTAATACCCATTCTACAGACTGATCAGCAGCCATCACTTTGGACCTCTGGATATTCTGGAAACAGGTGGAACAGTGGCCCATCACGAGGGGTATGGGAAGAGGAGCCTCCTCTCCTTTCACCTCCCCGGCCAACGGTCCAATGGCAGTCCGTGGGTTGTCCTGGGGACAAACTTGGCAGCAAACGACAAGGATGCTACACGGGCAGCCGGTGAGAGCTCATGGGCCTCAGAGGGTTTTTCAGCGCCAGCCATGGCACCTCCAGCCGCCCAGCCTCCCTGGTCCCTACCCAGAGCTGGAAGCCCAGCCCACCTAAGATTTCCCAGCACCGGTACACCAGACCCGACCCCCACCCTGCCACTTCTGTCCGCCATCTTTCTTTGTCCACCTCCAACACACCCGTCTCCTACTTCCTGGTTCCTCCTCTAAATCGCACACTTCCCCTGCCAGGCCTAGCGTCTCCTTCTCTCCCGAGACAAAGTGCCCTCGGTGGCTTGGCACAGAGGCACAGAGGCACGGACAGCCGTGGGGAGTAGGCGACGGTGCCCAGCAGTGGAGTCAGGACGCCCACCGTCAGCCGGCCACAGGCGTGCAGCTCCAAACACACAGCCACACTGGGCTGGCCTGGGCACAACGCGGGCACTCCCTCCAGCGACCTGTGCAACCCAGCCTGTATGTGCACTTGGACTCCCTCCTTGCCTCATCACCAGCGGCTGCGTGCTGGTGTCACAGGAGGGTGGGAATCACAAGCTTCATCTACTTTAAACAGTCACCCGTCTCATCAACAGTCTTAGAAACATCACGACCTTCACGGAGATTTTCCTTCCTTGCTTCTTGGTGACAAAGGGGTGGAGGAAGGAGATGGGGCACAGGCAGCCGGACAGCGCCTCTGCTGCCCTGGGAACCGAGGGCAAACCATAACCCCAAACCGAACACGGGCCTCACTCTGCGGGATCGTCCGTCGGAGCCACCCGTGTCCTAGAGTCATGAGAAGCTCAGCAGATGGGCAGGGATGTTCCATTCACAGCATTCATCCAATTCAACAAAGAAAGCCGTTGTCTTCCCCCAGGGATTTTGCGGGTTCGGGTCTGAAATGGTCCTGGATTCACAGGCTCCCGGAGCAGGAGAGCGTCCATCCTTTCTCCAGCGCGTCGGTCCCCGCGGCGCCCACTAGCGGACGAACGAGACCACGCTGGTGGCTACCCCGAATGGGGCGGAGTAGGCCGCGGCGAAGCCCTGCAGGCCGATGACAACATAGCGGCACCCTTTGGTGATGACCTTCCCAACATTCTATTTTTAAGAGAAGAGAAAAGCAAAGGGGTTGGGTTAGGCACCTCGTAATCCCTCATACACAACGGTGACCCGCGCAAAGGATCATGGTGCCTCCTTCCCTCAGGGCAGATTAGCAAGTGACCGCGTCTCCACATCCGCCCCCCACAGAAGAACAGGTAGGGACTCAGAACGGACGTCATCATCCCGCAAAGCAGTTCAAGGCGATGTGTGTTTCCAGCTGATTCAGACATCTTGGGAACAGGAGGCAGGCTGCTAGTTCTAAGACCAGACCGGTTTTCTTTCCTCTTTTTTTTCTTTAAAAAAAAAAAATTTTGGGGGCGCCTGGGTGGCGCAG